TCATGTCGCTGATAGAACGATGCGTCCGACAAAAACACCACACCAAACGCTTTTGGTTCGACCTCGGACATAGTCCTTCATGAAGGGTCGAAGCAAATGAGCGAAAGACCTGACAGGACTAGCGACAGGACTCACGAGGAAAACACGTAGGTGCCGACCTTGTCATGTTTGGTCTATACCTGTCGACGGTCCGAGTCAGTCGCATGGAGTCCCATGGAGTCCTAGGGTCAAGCAGCCTCCTATTTGGACTCCATTGTATTCTGTAGAGGCTGCTGCCTGCCTTTGTGGAGCACCGTGTACACCACTGTTTCATGGGGGCGTTTTAGACCAACACAAGGTCAAGTTCTGCATGTCAGGACACGGTCTGGGTGGTGAATGGACAACCCAAATCACCGAATCACCTCGGCCCCAAAGGTGTCGATTCAGTTCAAAGCTATTAGCTATATTCATATAGAGATCAAGGTGTGCATAGACCAACCCTTTGTGAATGCTGACATAGACCAAAACAATCCCCACGCCTTCACCGAATGTCCCTTCACCTTCCTCAGGAGCCCATGCCTGTGCCAGGTAGGGACCTCGAGTTTGTGTGAGACGAGTCGAGACGAGTGAAGGCGTGAGACGAGTTCGGTGTCAGGCGTCACATTGGTTATTCTATTAGGCAATGGCTGCCATACACCAACCAACCAACCAGCTATTACATGGGCCATGCAAGTCACAGAAGGCTAAGAATTGGGGGACCACATGGGACCAGCAAGTCACCAAGAATGTATGGCATCACCACTTCCTGCCCCGAACATATTGTGCTTTTGTGGCATTTTATGGCAGGAGGACTGAAAAAAAATGACAATCTCACAAGATCTCACAAGGTATGTGGATGTAGTATGATGTAGTATTTGTATATGTATCTGTCACAACAGCCCAAGCCCTCTGAGTAAACAACGGCTTGAAAGCACGAACACGCAAGGAGTCTCTGTGGGATACATGGGTGCTCGGGCATGCTTCGACCGCGTGACGTGCATATGTCTGCGACGCAGAAAGTCATACCCGGAATGCTTTGATGTGGAGAACTGCATGTTCTTAAACCCTGGCAGCGTTCGATCGTGGAGCTTCGCCGCTTTGACAAATCACATATATAAAGTAAAGATGATTGAACATGATCCCTAGGCTTCCTCTACCTGAAAAGGCTGTTGTTCCTTCCAAACCTACCCCAGTCCCGCCTTGTCACGCGGGTAGGAAAAATATGGAAAAATGGATGAGGTGGAGCAAACGATCTCGGGAGGACATGTTTAGGACCTATGCCGCCCTGCTGCCCAGGTTGGCACAAGAGGAAACCCTAGAGTGAGGACTGTCCTTCTTTCCAAGAGCTTGCACCAAAAAGAAGTGGTTCAATTCTTCTACCTGGACCTAGTGACCAGTGATGGGTAGTTGTGAAACTCAAGAACACGGGACATTCTTGAACTGCTCTATCTTGGTCGGCTTTCCGAATCTACAAATTCACCGCTACAACTTGGTTATGACTATGCTCACTATGCCTTTTCTGTAGCATCAAGTGCTTCAATGACGCCCTTCACTGGCATCGACATCAACATTATCAGCGGCCTGATGGTGGCTATATCAATACATACATTTTTGTACAGTATTATATACATGTATTATGGTTCTGAAACCCCCATGGCATGGTCTTCACATGGGTGGTCTGTATTCTTGCATTCTATGTGGTATATAATATATACTTATATATGTATATATATAGTTGGTTCGGGCGGAGGGCCCTTTCTTCGTGTGGTTCAGCAGGATTCCGAGATGGTTCCGTTGGGATCTGTTCAAAGGAGTGAACAAGGCCAAACTCAATCGTGGCACCAGAAACTTATGAGGACACTTGAGCCAAAATTGTGGAACCCAGAACCTACACCTGTAGTATATCTGTAGTATATATACAGTGATAATTATTGAAAGGTGCTTCTTGTACCAAGAGGGTCTGGTTGAAATCTATACAGTGTGTAATGCCATGTGAGCTTATCGCACAGTACGACACAGTATCTTGAATTACAGTAATCACAGTTCCTTGCATCAAGGACACATCATCATGAACATCTCATACGGCGGGGACTGGAGTGAAAGGGATGATTGATGATCGACATACTCTTCTAGTAGACACCACATAGGCCAAAAAAACAAACCTGGACCATGCCTTTGGCAGTTCCAGGCAACAAAACTGGTGGGAGGGATCTGAGTCGTCACACCAATTTGAGCACCTGGAATCATGGCTGAGTAGCCCACTATATAAACAGCCGCTAAGTATTGATGTATACACACATATATATATATTATATTATAACATTATACAGTTTATATATAACCAGGCATCTATCCTTCGCACACCTGTCTAATCACAGTTGAAGAAGGCAACACCATCTGTCATACTGAGAGTAATTCCTGGGAACATTCTTCTATGAAGAATCATGATCCCAACAAAACATGTCGAGGCGAAACAAAAAACACTGCTAGATCTCTTTACCCCGAAAGGACCGTTGCCTTTTGCATGGTGTACGCGACGAACAGCTATGTGAACACTTCACCACACATAAAGTCGGCGTTTGCATCATGTTCCAGCACCAAAACCCACTTTCCCTTCTGCTACTATATAAGAGTATAGTTTAGTATATAAGTATATATATAGTTTAATAATGTTTAATAGTATACCTAGCGCTTCCAGGCCCTACAAACAAGTATAGGTTATGTCGAAAACCCGGCTTCTTGTGATTGTGAGAACCGGTGCTACCAACAAATAAACGGTCTTTGAACCCATCACCTGGTGTTCCTGGCTGGTCCTGCTATAAAAAGCAGCTTCGTGAAGCCTTATAGGTAGAGTATGGTATAGTGAAAAACACTTCAAGTATAAATAGGCCCACAAAGTGAAAAACACTTCTATTAGTGAAAGCCTTTTAAATAGCCCCACAAAGACGTCGAGAAACGTCGAGAATCGGGAGAACGGATCACTCGGACGTTATCGGATACACGGACGTCCGGCGAGACCGTCTGGCGCGGAGCTTGGGTGGGCCATGGGTGGGCCGAGTGAACCCAGAAGTCATGCGGGCCCACGCTGTTTGACGTCAATTGGAGCATACTTCATGGTGGCAAAATCCATGTAATTGAGCATGTACATCAAAGAATCCTTGCGCAAAGAATCCTTCGGCCCTAACCTTCGCAGGAGTCCGGACTCGAACCAAGCCCTTCTCATTCCAGGGTGGCAACTTCCTCTTCTCAATAGCTTTTGGGATGACCATCCCGCAACAAAAATGAAACTTGAGACTTGCGCGGTCGGTGTTGCGATTTGATGCGTTACCAGTGGGGTGTCGTGAGCAAATCTCCGTGGTTCCGAACGACGCCGATCAAGGACCTCCCTCCTCCGCCGACACTTGTGGTCATCCAAGCTGAAGGTCTAAACGATTGCCTCGACAACTGGGTCATTGGCAGCAAAATCGCACGAGCAAACCAAGCTCTGTGGGGGCAGGCGCTGCAACAGTGATGCTTCACCAGGAGTGGCGCCTTCACTGCCTGGTTTCTGCGAATGATCTGGCCATATGGCACTGTAGCAGCCGACCAGGACAGCACTGTTTTCATGTTTCGACAAAGAACACAGGTTCACAGAATGATTGGATTATTGCTGGTCGACGTTTATCAATGCATCTCTCTGCATGAGTTTCCTTTGTCACAAACTTGGAAGCAAAAAGGCACGGCATTGGTGTGAATACTTTGGGGATCTAATCTTTGGGCGTCTTTTGTAGTGGTGGGCGTCGTCTTCATGATCCAAGGCAGGGTTTCCAGCGCCTTGTGCCCCGCACTCTGTAGATCTGTAGATCTTGAATTCCATTGGCCAAATCCTTCGGCCGACACCAAAAAAAGCACCTTCTAACCTATATAGACACCAAAAATGCCAGGACATTTGTTAGCTGGTGGGCATTACGATTGGTGCTTGCGCATGGTCTTATTCAAGTGCATTGCATTGGGCGAACAAATGTGCCGTCGGAAGTTCATGGTGTATGCGTGTATGCGTTTGGATGTTGTACAAGTTTTGTATGCTAAGAAGCACTTTTTTCTGTACCCCGTATCCCTGAAGAACGTGTTCAAAAAAAGTGCATGCCAAAGTATGTTTAAACACGTTTTAAGACAAAATGTGATTTCTGCTCAGTGTACCCAAACCTGAACCAGTCCATTTTTGGTGAATTGGTTGCTGCCTTAGGATGCCTTAGGTTTTGCATCCAACTGCTGGACCCTTTGCCGCAATGACTGGGATAAGATCTAATTAGTTTTCATGGCTGAAAATAGAAGTCAGAACTTCTTCTTGTGAAGTCTGCTGGAGTTGCCAGGGAGACTGCACTCTTGTGAGTTCCAGTCTAAGCCTTGGACCATTTGGGCCCCGAAACAGTGAGGGAAAACTTCATACCCGTAGCAGCCCTTCTTTGACATACCTCATGTACTAACCCATTGCTTTGCGTCAAAAAAGGGCACAGCAGTGGAAATACAAATCAAACCATATCAAGATTTGTACGTGTAACTTGTTCCAGAAGTACAAGTACAATCAAACCACTTGTTCTGGAACCACTAGTTCTGGAAGATTTGTACGTGTAACAGCATCGTCCACTGTGCAGTCCCTTCGCAGCTGAACAGATTCATCAGCCCATGTGGGTCACCCATCGGTATGTTGTGCGAGTTTGACCTCTTTCCTTTCCACAGGAGGACAGAAAATCAGGTCGTGACCACCTTGCAGGTGAAGGATGGTCCAACGTCACGCCACCGGATGACCGTGGGAAGGGCTGGGAAGGGCCTGCGACTATCTGTGGTTAGTAGCTGCATTGGATGGTCACGTAGATGGTTTCAATTGGAACTACGGCTGCGGCAGGTTGCTAGTCAGGCGTATGTATTCTTCACCTATGACCTACGGACTGTGCTTGGTGGGCTTGAGCGTAAACTCGTGCAGTGTGAGGTAGACTCGTAGACTCTACTTTTGACAGCCCCAAAGCGATGGGCATTCCGGTTGCTCATGATGGGCACGAAACGACTCCTATCAAATACACGATAGTCCGGGCATGCAGGACACTGGCTCTTTCACTCAATATCTCTGCTAGAAAGCGCCCAATTTGCTTTACAGCTCTGCATATGGCCAGGGAAATGTCGACAAACTTGGGTCCGGTCTCACTGCGCCTCCTGCAACTGTCAACTGCAAAAACAACAAGGTAACCAAAAAATACAGAAAGTAACTATGACAGTAGTCATTACCTCAGCCATTGAAAGCATGATCGCCAGGGCATCCTCCTCTCATCCAGGCAGCCAGTGTGATGCTAAGAGCAAAAGTGGTAAAGGGAGGAAACACAAATATGGCTGGTTATTACACAGGCCTCGCAACCACCAATTGATTTCCAATTCTGCCTTTACCTCCATGTGGCTTCCCGTCTTTTCCACGTCGTGTTCCTCGTGTTTGTCGACTTCTGCCACACCAGCTATGACATCCATCAACCATGGAGGCCCTCAAAGCAGCACTTCTCGTATGATGCTCTTGGTGGTAGGGTGTCTTGTAGCCGCTCTTGGAGTTTTGCCTTAGCACTTTTGAAGGAAAGAAGAGGCCTTCGGGAGGGAGGGTGAGTCCAGATGCTTTCATGTGGTTTCAGAGGTTCCATGGCACAACCCCATCTAAAGGAATGTACGGGTGCCAGTGCCATCTAGCCTCTGAAACCACATGAAAGCGCTGTACCAGGACCTTCAGTTCGTGACCTTTTGAGATCCTACAATGAGGTCACGAATCGTCCTTAAAGAGGTCACTTAGAGACTCCAAAGAGGTCACGTACTGAAGGTCCAGGTATATGTCTCTCTCTTCCACAGATTAGAAACCCATGAGCATTTCCATCCCTAGGAGTTTCAAGATGGCATGAGACGGCGATGGATGATGTCCATGTTGCATGTGTTACCCAAAACATCAAAGGGTCCAACAGGATCATTGCATTCATCACACTTGTAGAAAACAGAAACTGGAGATCATGTGAAGATTCTCCCGGATCATAGTAGTTGCCATTTTCATCATTGTCCCAGTCGTGTGGTATTATCCAATTCAACCACGGCACTGGGCACGTCATGGGACGCGTCTTCCTGTCGACCGGTCGGACGAACGCGCGGAGGTCGGTTCAACAAGGACCAGTGTGTGGACTAAGTGGACCCTTCACAGGAGCAATCTACTAACTATACACACTTAGTGGATATGGGTGTGGAAGATCTAAAGAAAAGGTGACGACCCCCTTGGAAGAAAGGGAAACAAACATTAAATAGAGTCTACCCATTGGTCCAGGGCTAGGTCGTTTTGGGGTCCTATCAACAATGCACTTGCTCGTAGTTCTCGACGTTTTTTTCACCGGATCCGATGCACCGGCCCCTACGCTCCGGTCGCGGAATGGATGGTTCCTCATCGGCCGTTGTCGTTGCTCGTGCTGTACGTAGCTGAAGCAGCTCGCTTCTGCCCCGGTACCCGGGGGCACCGAATCGAAAGCAATCTTTGACCGCAGGACCGAATCGAAGAAGTTATATACCCTAGAAGTCCAAAGACTAAATATGTTGTCCGACTGAACTTGGCTGCTCTCAGCTTGGCCGCTGGAAGCTTAACTTTTAGGGTCCAAAATGCACAAAAAACAATGTTTTCTCAAAAGGGTGAGCATACCAATGCCATCCTGATTCCCAGCCACACACAGCCGACACCAGGAAAGCTCTTTCAGACAAGCCTCCACTGTTTTTTGGAGTCTATCATGTATCAGTATTCAGCACAAGCACCCACATCACCATCACCTGCCTCTTTGTAGCATGCCAGCTGCTCTGGTCTTCTATGGACCAATCTGCACTGGTTGGGAGCTTCCACATGAACCTCCCCCGCAATAGGAGAGCCCCGTACTTCCTACCAACATCGCCAAGACGGAACAGTTCACAGCCAGCAGATTGGCGTGGTAGACCTGATCAATATTTTTTATTGGTTCAAAATTCAAGGAACAGATCGCAGCACAAAATTTGCCCTGCCTGGCTCCGCTCAAACCTGCCTGACCAATGGCCCAAGACCGAGAAAAATTAACCCGGGCTGTGGGAGAAGAAGCCCAAACACCTGTAAGTTTTCGGATTGCTTTTATTTGCGCTGGAAGCCCGCAAGGGGCTTATGTACTTATATGGCTTGTATGCACCACCACACCGGCAAATTCCATTCAACCCCCAATTAGGGGCAGGACATCAAGAAAGAATCCGCGTTCACTTTCCCAGGTGGCCTCAAACATGCTGATTGTTGGGAAGCCTGGGAAGCATGTGTAGTTTCGAGAGTTGAGCTGCTCATATTGGATTTCAAATGCGGCTCGTCTGAAAAGGTTCGCTGAGAATTGGAATGTACGGGGAGTATAGGTGTAGACAACCTTCTAGATATAGGCTGCCGCATCAAAACTTTTCCACGCCCGCCACCCCAATGTCACCACCTCGGCCTGGGAGCTCTAAGAAGATAACGGCCAGCTCTTTTCGTTGCAGCCGAAAACTTTTGGTCTGCTCCATGGCGTGCCTCACACCGCGCAGAAGCCCTACCGAATCCACAGTTATCATAGCCACAGGGCTGCAAAAGTATTGAATATTAATATCATTTGAGCTGTGCTGGAAACCTTGATAGATTCCTATGTCGTAAGAGGGTGCTTACGCAACACATAGGTTAATCTTACGCGCTCCACAGGTTTTCTTACGCGGCATGTGGGGGCAAGTGGAGGCTTACGCCACCCTTACGCGGCCAGACTTCGCAGACTTTTTGCGAATCTGCTGGGAACATGCTTACGCGACGTGCTTTGTACAATGATATAGCGCTTCAAGATTTACTACTTGCAGAAGCATGCGTTCCTTCCCGCAGTGGCACGGCTCACGCAAGCGCACTTTCCACCGAGGCCGCGCAAAATCGCATGGCGCAGCGACATCACAAACGTCATTTGGCCACACGGTGTGCCACTGACTAGATACAACAGTGCGCCACCAAGCCTCATGGACACTGCCAAGAGTCCAAGAGCTTCTCCTCTATGGACGTGTTTTGTGTTGGCATATATGAGCAGGGTGGAAGCTTGTCTGAAGTGTATATTTTCGGGCCAGTGTTGGCAAAAGGCTTTGGGTTTGGGAGCCATGTGGGCTACTACTCACTGACGCTGATGAGACTTACGCGCTGCCTACGCGGAGCTTACGCGCGCCTTACGCGGAACGTGCCGTGACTTTTCTCGGTTTTTGCGAGGTTCCTGTTTCTAGAAAACACAGCAGACCTCCTCAACCAAATCTGTTCTCACCTGCAAACCAACAGACACAAAAAAGCTTACGCGGCACAAAAAGCTTACGCAACCTTGCGCACTGCAGTGTTTTCCTTACGCCCCGAGCTCTTATGACAAGACTCTTACTCATTACAAGCAAGTGGGTTTATGGCATGGCTCATTTATGAAATGTCAAGCTTCCAGTTTAGACATGTACGTGACTACGTCTACAGAGGAGTTTGCAAGCTGGACATGCTTTTGGGTAGTGTTTTTACAGTCTTAGCTTTTGACATACATGCATATTTACACTTAAATGCGCGCATAAGTATGCTTACGAGTACATATACACATGCAGGCAGGTTGAACCGAAACCTGCCTGGGACCCAAAAAAAACTATCCAAATCCCCGCGCAATCACAGATATCCTGCCAACGCCTCGCCCCCCAAACACGCGAGGCCATCCCGGACAGAACCGGGAACTAAGACTTGCGAGGAATAGAGAGAATTACAGAGATTCACAAGGCAAAGGCTTCCCAAATAGCAGTTTGGAGGACAGAAAGGATCCAAAGAAAAGCGCAGAGGCTGCCCGTCTAAAGACGCAGGTACCTTGTTGTCTCTGCAATGCTGCTGTGGTTCTTTTCTTTTATTGAATGCTCCCTGATGACGTAGCAGATCCACGACAGGGTTCCAAAGCGCCCGTTTTGGAAATGCGCTTGCCAACTTATAGGAAAACGGAAACAATACCGGGCGGTTTGGATCACCAAATCGATTTGTTTTGGTTGGCCACGCGCCTTCAGACAGATGGAAGCTAGGCGTAGTCTGCAAACAAAATATGCCAAGAACCCGCGCAGTGATCCAAGGGTTTTGGCCTGCTCTCAGCAAATTCAAAGCTCCATATACCAGCGTTCATAAAAGCAACGCTTGCACGACTCTCTGCCCGAGCAGCTCCTCCCATGCCCCGCATCACTTCTGCAATCCGAGATCCTGTCGCGAAAGCGCCTTCCTGTTGTGGAAAGACTTTGGGGATAGTGCGGGTTACAATCCACCGTCACCCGCCCAAAACGCACAACCTTGGCGCAGGCTGGTTGACAGCTTTGGCTCGCAGGTGCAGCTAGAGAAAAAGGCAAGGCCGCAGAAAAAGCGCGCTCCGCCAAGTTGCTGATTGGTGGCCCCCGAAGCAAATAACAAATCAATGGTTTCTCGGCTGCTACCTGACAACAGCTTTAACGAAAGTGTTGTGCTCTTGCTGTGGCTCTTAAGACGACCAGAGCATCCCTTGCACAAGACTGGAAACCAAAGCATGCGTTTTCGATCAATTTTGGTCAGCTTCCTTCGGTTCCGCTTTGGCCCCAGATAACGGAACCCCAAAGTGGCCCCAAAGAGTGACCTTCCCACTCTTGCTCTTGCTTTGAAAGGACAGGGATTCAAAGCAAAAGCTTTTGCCCAAACGCGCTCTTCAGTAAATTGCCTTTGTGCTTGCGCAACGAAAGCTTTTTCTGTGGCTCCATTCCCACCTGCTGCCCTTGGCAGCTCGCCGCACCGAACAACACCAGTGACCCTAGGTGGGCAGCTGTTGACAAAAATGAGCTGAACCGCAACAACCGGGAGAGATATAATTAGCTACTTTTTGCCTTTTCGCACTGGTGACTGGTGGCCCTCTGTCCTTTCGCCCGGCTCTCCTTGGAGGAGCTTACCCCGCAACCTGTCAACACGGCGTTTGAAATCAGAGTCCGGGGCCTGCAGTAGCAAGCCTCGATCGGCAGGTTGAGCCCCAACTTCGCCAATCTTTCTTGGAAGAAATCCTTATGTCAGGCAGCCGGCCAGCCCTGACAAAGGCACACCTCCGATTTTGTGTTTTGCTTGCTACCGCCAGTTTCGCCGGAAGGGTCTGGCAGGCGACCGTCCGGTCGCCTGTCAGCCTCCCAGCCGTGTTTCCAAAATTCTGCCTGCCAGAGAATGTCGGTTTTGTAAACCTTCCCCTCTGGCAGGCAACCGGCCGGTTGCCTGCCAGAGGGCAAGCTTTTACGTTGCAACTGCTTGCGAAAGAGGCGCCTCTGATCGAAAAGCCATGTCTCGCAGAGGAAAACCTACCCCTCTGGCAGGCGACCGGCCAGTTGCCTGCCAGAGGGCTGGCTTTGGAAAAACACGCGTTTCTGGTGTGCTACACGCAAGTTTCTGCAGGAGCTGGTCATTCAGTGTATTTGCGAAGTGATGGGAGTGCCGTTGCTTGCGGAAGGAAACCACATGGAACAGACATTCCACCTTTGGAGGAGGAAACATGCTACACTTCCACCTCCAACCGCGTACTTTTGCTACCTTTTCGATCCTGGTAAAGACTACGTCCTGCAAGCTGGCGCTGCCTCGGAAGATGATGGAGTGGTGCTGACATGCTGGGATTTGGCCGGGCGTGAGCTATTACGATTGAAAGCAAAGGAGTCTGACCTGGCCTGGACTCGCAAGCGCATTGCCAATGACTTGCAGGTTAGCCTTCCAAATCTTCGGGTAGCTCTGCCCGATGGACAGTTGTTGGTCTCAATGTGTAGGGCAATGCCTTTGGCCACAATTGCAACAAAAACGCGTAAAAACCACACCTGCATAACTTCGAGCTCTCTTTTTTTACGTGTGACATTATCTACTCACAGCCAACAAGGTGCAGCCTGGGCCACCCATGGGCCACCCCCAAGGCAGTGGTATGGCAGTGGGTCAAAACCGAACACCCTACAAACCATGGAAGGTTGACATCCCTTGCTACAAGGGATCTGTTCATTTTCGGTGGTTCACCAAGAATCCTTATGAATGGGAGCCTAGTTCGATTACATATGAAAGGAGTACCGGGCTGTTGGGTGGTCGCGTGGCGCTGGCCTGGTGAACCCCAGCGTCCCCCTGTTTTGACGCACTGAACAATCGTGAGGAATGCTGGCTTTTCCTTCCAATGATAGGAGTACATTGGGAACACCATCTCCAGCTGACTGCAAGTGGAACTGACATGACATGATTGTCTGCCTCTGCCAATACTTCACCAGCTATTACCAGAGTTTTGCTCAGATCAAAATATCTGACAGGACGAGGTCCCTTGCAAATCTTGGGTGAGGCCAATCAAACACGTAAAGAATCTGACTCCCACCCTTGTCTTTCAATAAAGGACACTACCATTGAAGAAACCTCATCACCTGATATGGAGAAAATCAGATCATTTGTAGAGCTGTAGCTTTTCGCATTGTGATCTGCATGAAACCAAGCCACTTGCCCACGCAACATGGCCACGTGCCATGCTGAGGGAATGGTTCCGCAACACCAAGACCTTGGCACATGAGCTTTTTGTAGGCGGGAGATGTGTCTCTGTGGGTATACGGGGTGGGTGGGACCTAAGAACTCAGAGTTCTTCATCATGGATATACAGCGGTACTTAAGTTGGCGTTCTCCAGATCACCCAATTCTTCTGCCAGCCTTTTGATCACGAGGTGTACATTCTAAGTGCATGGATGACATGGGAGGACATCATCGTTCGCTTTTAGAGCAGCTGCTGGGCGAAGTGTGTAGATCTCCAGAACTTGAACGGTATATAGTAACTATATAGACCTGGGATGTGTCCCAGGCCAGGATCTCAGCGTGATTCAGATGCAGAAAGCGTGGACCTGGTCATGCTGCCCTCTTACTACTACTACCCATCAATGTGTCAGTGAGGCTGGAACACTCAATCAGAGCAGCTTTGAGAGTTCCTTGAAAAATAACATGCATGCATGAAAGCGACAGTTTGTTGTGGTTTCAAGTGGACCGACAAGAGGTTTCTCCGTTGGAGGCCCCCACAAGACCTCACTGGATGGAGCTTCCAGTTCCTCTCCAGGGCTTTGGACGCCCCAAATTCTCTGGAGCCTTGAAGCCCCTGCAAATAACAAAGAAAAAATCAATATCCGTTTGGATTTGGGACCGGGGCATGCTTGCATCTTCCAAATCTGGTGACGGGCTCCAGCCAAATATCAACCAAATAAAGCAACCTTGCAGAATGCCTCACCAAGCGTACGTAACAACGTCTGATAGACCTGAGAATAAACAAATGTAAACAAAAAATCTAAGATCCTAAGGGACCACCTGAGGGCAGCCAAGTGAAGTATATAAATTCCTGTTCGGGTCACCTAAAGACCGTTCTTTTTATAGTCTTTGACTCCCAGGGTGTATATATATATATATACAATATATATATATATCGTGCAGGCCAAATGAAACTTTTACAAACAACCCGGGCTCCACGGTCGCACGGACATGAACAAAATACCTTTTCGGGTAGACAACGCAATGCCATCACAACGCCGGTCCCCCTGCACGAGTGGTGTAACGTAGTCGTCGTCCTCTGAGCGGTACTTCTTGATGGTGGATTGCGCTGTCACCACGCCTCATCTCAGGTGACTACAGGTTTGACAGAATCAGCCCAGGAAAACAAGTCCCAAAATAGAATCACAGGGAAACAACAAGGTAAATGGTTGAAGAACATGCTAAAGAATACAGTTCCAATTTTCAAATACCAATCTAAGTACAAGGTTTGGAGATGCCATTTCAAAGAAAATGGTGTTCTTGCTGATGCATGTATGCATGTATAGAATGATGGTGTCAGTGCCAAACCAATGACTTGTTGTTCTGATTTCTGCAATCGACCGCCGACCTATATCAATTGACTGAAACACATGTGAGAGAGAAGCACAACTGGGCAATTCCATGTGAAGTGCGGTCGGGGGTTTACCTGACCGAGTTCTGGCAGAAGAACGCACGTAGTGAAAATCCTGTGCTGATACAAGCTCCTCAAAATACTACGGACCCTTCAAAACATGAAAGATCTTGAATATCATCTCGGCAGCCAGGAGGCATCTCGTCCCCATAGAAAATAAAACCCTCAATTTTCACCATCCAGGTGGCTCACGGGGAAATCTGATGGCTGAGAGCTCACCAGGCTCCGGCTACGCTCGTAGCGATATCGCTGGAGCTTGACTTGGAAGACTCCGAAGAAGTAACCGAGGCCTTGGCTGAGGTGCGAAACCGCAGGGAGGCGGGATGAGGTTGTGACATCAGCCTTTGGAAAGCATCGAAAAACACATTATAAAAAGCTGCGAGCTCGCTGTTGAACTACGAGCTGCAGGATCGACTCAAATGGACACGAGAAAAAATGATCCTGACGGAATACGTCTTATACTGTTCGTTAATGATTCACCTGCAGGTGCACTGAGTCCTTTTCCAATCTGAACCTGCCACCGCACCTACTGGACTAGATCTTGACATGTTAGCATCTTCTAGAAAACTAGTGAAAGAAGCTCTTACCAAGAATATGACGAAGAATACTACAAAACTACCGATACTACAAAACTATATATATTTCGAAACTACCTTGGTCATCCATCTATTGTATGTATTCTTATACCAGATTCAGTTTCCACAACATGCCATGAAAGAGTGGTTCCACAGCCAAGGTGTGAGCTGGCCCGAGGTCAATAGCAATGAATTACTGAGCAAAAAATGGAACTTGTTAAATCTGGCCCTCCGCGAGTCGCTTTTTTCGATGCGACATCTCGAAACAGGGACCGCTTCTGCGATCGAGCCTAGCGCCGGGCGTCAAACCAACTGGAGTTTGTTTTTGGAGCGATGCGGCAACGGGCGTCTGCTTGTTTGCACGCTGGTATGCTGGCAGGCACGCTGAAGAACACTGAATTCACTGGTTTGATCACGTCGGTTATGTCTTTTTGTTTTCTGACCTTGCTGATTACGCTGGCCACGCTCAGTCTTTTTGGTTTCTCCGGGCCTTGGTTTGGAACAATCCCATCTTCGACAACCAAGGCGTTGGAATGTCCAGACCGCTGACCGGGATTCACGTGCGTGTTCCTCAAGGTTCCGCAATCCTCCAACCTTGCTGCTGAACGTTATGGCACATGCTCTTGCTTGCTTCAGCATGTCATGGCTTGTTTCGGTTGTTGATTGTGCCGTTTTGCTTTCCCCCGCATCCAATGGCACCATTGGCTCGTTGGTCATACGACATCCATCCCCACCGTCCGAACATGGTCTACGCGGTCCCCTAGACCGTTGGACATCGGTCCGATCAGGTTGGGACCGGTGGACGATTCCGTTGGGCGCCTCACCGATGAAGAGTGTTCGCTGGGGGAGGTGAAGGGTGGCCGGAATCTGGGTGTTGTGGTGCCTGTACCTTGTAAGTACCCCACTGGGCACTTACAAGGTACTTATGCTTGCTTGTACATGGGTAAATTCATGCTTTGGGAACGTCTTGCGGGCAAGATTTCGTTGGAGCCATGGGCGGGTGGCAGCCGGGATGCTTTTGGCTGCTGGCAGCAGTTGGTGCGACGATTCTGCTGGTTGTACTATATAAGTATGCTGGTGGCTGATCATCTGGCCCCAGTGCAACTGGGGTCACTGATGTAAACAGTGTAACCTGCGTCATTGCAATCGGTGTAATGTGACTCTGGACAAAATTAGGAACTACAGTAGGTATACCATGTATGCAAGTACCTACATACACTGGTACCAGGATGGACCAGGATCCAATACCTACATACACTAGTCTACCTACAATAGTGTACCAGGTATTGGATCCTGTTGGATCCTCTCAAGTGATGTATTTGTCCATCGTGTTGTTTCCCAGCTTCTCACGGCACCAAAAAGAATCCTTCCGCCGAAAACAAAGGCAAAGTGGATTCCCTGTTTGCGCATGTCGACACCCGACACGAGGTCATTCCGACTTCTGGTGCATTCGGAGGTGCTACAAGCCACACAGCCGGCCACAGCGCTGGAGGTGACACCCAAAAGGAACCACAACACGATCTGAGCCTCGCATTGAGCGGACATCGCCAGTAACAGGGATCTACAAACGTCATGCCGATGAGCACAAACTTGGGGGTCATCCCTATTTGGGAATACCTTGTGCAATCTACAACCTTCTTCATCATAAGTTAATGTCAAGCAAGTTTGCTCTTTAGGGTTCATCTTTTGGGGGAGATTGATTGGGGACTACAAAAGTTGTAGCTTGCAGGATAAAATACTCTACAAACTCGTAGTCAGATGGCAAACCCATCTTCTCAAAATGTTTCCCATGTCCGGAGGATCCTGCTGCAGCACTTTCATCCTGAACGGTTGATTTTCACGTATGCAAGTTGCAAGTTAACCAATAAGTGTAGAAGTTCTTTTGACTCATATGACTCGAGGTGCTCTCTCTGTTTGTCAAAGGACTCACCTGTCACACAGTTGAACATCGGCATGAACATGGACACCACTGACATGGACCCAATAAAGAATACATGATTGAAACATCTTGAAAGGCAGGTGCGTCCCTGCTCTAGATTATCCACTTCGTTGGGGCAACTTTATACACATATAATCGCAAAGATGCAAACTATTTAGTCATACATAACATAAATTGGCATGCTTTAAATACAGGCCGAATAGAGAGACATCAGCAATCACCAGCATACAGCTCAGCTGCCGTCTGTAGGCCTTCAGCAGGAACCTCCTTGCGAGCAGAAATGAAATCCCGAACATGCACTCGATCACCCATACAACGTCATGTTACAGGTTGCCAAGCTCTTTCGTTCTCTGTATGCTCAAACAGTATCAATGTGCTAACCCTCCAAAAGCATCAAAAACCAGTCCCTCCATTGGTCCATCGCTCCGCCACGTATTGCACCCGCCCTCAAAGAAGCTGTAAGTTCGGTATGACTACCGTGCTTGCAACACACATCGACATCGCATGGTCGTTCGTAAGTATCTGTGCCAGAAAAAGGTTGGACCACCTCCTTGGAGCATCAACCAGCCCAGCGTAAAGAAGTGTTCCTAAGGGCCCACTCAGGCGCCGGTGCACCCTGCCTTAGGTTGACCTTCTTTGTCTCCAAATTCGGATCAGCCAGAACCCGTGGTCAGCCAGAATTCTCTCCTCTACACGACAAACAAAGCGTTCCTTCGGCCCCGCAAGAGGAAGGGCTCGGGTCGCCGCGTCCTCGGGAAGCTGCACGGTGGTGTAAACATGTGGCACGTCCAACATCTGGATGTGGGTCACCTGAGAGTGACGTGGACGCTGCGACACGTCTGAAAAGCGGCGCGCGACACACCTGGCGGCAGCGCTGCGACGGCATCCGGACGCCCACTGGCTGAAAACAACGCCGGCCTGCTGTAGCAGCGCTGCGACGGGACGTGAGCAATGTCCACCAAACTGCCCATACCGACGGGAGACCCGACAGCCGGATGTGATGATGTGAATATGTTTTTGCTTCTTTCTTTTTGGTGACGTGTCATGTTCACAAAAACACACAAACACCAATAGATTCCCACAAATGGAGGGCTCAGGGAGTCTGGGATGACCTTCCACAAATGGAGGGCTCAGGGAGTCTGGGATGACCTACCTACATCTCATCTCTAGGATCTCTTGTGAACAAGTATCCTGGATGAGTTCCCGCGGTGGCTATCGATCGGTGGGCTCTGACGAGCAAACACCTTCAACAAATCGATCATTCGATCGTAAGCCCTGGAAGAGCTCTCTCCAAACTCTATATGGGCACCCTAGTGGTCTCCAAATAGATAGAAACGGTCTCCAATACACTGGAGATCTACTTTTGTATCTACTTGGGGGATCTTGGGGGTCTATGATGGTCTATATATCTTCTTGCAACTGGGCACTTCCAGCCCCTCTTGCTTCAGTGATCGAGTAAATCTCCCGGCAGCATCCTCAGCAACATCAGGCCCCCCAGACTGTCCGAGGCAAACCCAGCATGGCTAGAGAGTCATGAAACAAACCGCCCACCCTCTCCCAAACATGGAACACATGAGACCGAAATGATCTCCAATGACGTCCAATGAACATGACCTTGGCATTGCGGTAACACGGAATACACCTGCCACAGATTGCTGAGCCTCTCCAAGGACTGTTCCATGACAATATGTTGTGTTCCACGACAATATTCTGTGAGTCACCAATGCGAGCAACGCTACTTTCCCTGACTCGCCACTGGTGTCTTGAATGTCAGGGATGATTGGAAGCCAGGACGAATGACAAAAGGGTTCACATCGAACACTTGTCATTTAAACAGCTTCGAATCGATTGACCCGGCAAACCGTCTCGTGGCAACAGGCGCCAAGCAGCGCTCTGGCTATCTGCCAAGCTTGTGACCTGCCGACACTCCCAAAAGACCAATCACACGCCCTGAAAGGGAATCCTTTAAGTGATTCTCAAACACCATTTTAACCTTCAAGTTGGAGGAACCATGCTATCTTCTTGCAGCTGTGGATCAGTGTCTGAGAACGATGGTGTGGAACCCCCACTTATAAGGTGAACCCACTGGTGGTATCCTAATTAGTGCTTTAATATCTTTAATAGATGGTTCTTGAAACACCAGACCAATCTTTCAATATAGATGGTTTCTGCCTGAAGCCTCCACAAGCAATGGCTAGGCTATGCTGCCGTTCAGAAGCCGTATATTGCTCCTTGGCCCTCGAGCGCCAAAAACCCGCCGAACGACCCAACAAAGGGCAGGCTACCTTCCATCTATGTCTCTACTTCGGTACTTACTTACTGACCGACTAACTGCCTGCCTGTGTGCCTGGCTGGCTGACTGAGTGCCTGGTTGGCTGGCTGGCTGGCTGACTGACTGACACTGACTGACTGACTTTCTTACTCACTTACTATAATAATCTATTTTACTCTATACATCTATTTTAAGTTGAATCTATACTTAATTCTACTTTACTAACTTTATTTACCTTTCAAGCTACTTAATTGAATGTTACTTACCTTTACTTACTTGCTTACTGAGAGTCCTGGGGGGAAACTACAACATCTATTTCGTTACATCGCAAAGAATTGCCATGTACCTACTAGCGATGGCCTATAGCAATGGCCTACCTACTAGCGATGGCCGCTTTTTTCCGAAGAACTCGCTCGTCTTCCGTCGCAACGCACGACGTGCCTTCGAGAGCAACTCCTTCACCGAGTCGCTAGACGCTTCCACCTCATAACCTCGACGCTTCGTGGGCAACGAGACGAGGCCCAAAGGCCGAAGAACCATGTCACATGTGCTTTATGTTTTTCATTTCATATAGTATACTGGTTGTTGATGTTGTAGTGCTTTTGTTTCTCATGGTTTTCATTTGGAATGTGGGTGTGATGTTCTTTTGGCACTGTTTATTTTCCTTGGTGTCCCTCTCCCGTGCGTGTGTCTGTTCTTCTCTGACCTGCGTTGAGAACCGTGGAATGTTCGACCTGGTTCTCTAATGACATGAAATTTGCATAAATTTGCAAGTTATCTTCTTCCCCAAAGGGGGAAATGAGACAAACATCCCTACACCCACTCATCCCACAAAAACCCCTCCCGGGGATCGTTTTAGGCCGAGCCGCTCACCCCCAGCGCCGCCTCGATCGCCGTGACCTCGGTCTCCTCCACCAAGCGTCGCGGAAGGAGCTCGATGACCTGTCTGGACTGATGGACTCGAAAGGACAAGACGAACGATTGGCCGAGTGCGTCTCTGCTGCTTGGCCGAGTGCGTCTCTGCTGCTTCGGATCGTCCGAAGCGTGCGCGAGAAAGGACAAGACTCAAAAAAAATGGAAGAATCCCAAAGCCAAAGAAGTTGCCCAAACAACAGTACACACACATATGCTCCAAAAAAACACAAAAATCAAGCAAATTCTTAAAAAAAAATATTTTGGGAAGATGTTGTATGGGTGGCGAAATACAAGGAAATCAAACATTCCAAAAGTTTCAGTGTGGCATGGGGTGACTAATAACTATATACCCAGTAGTCTGTTCATTAGGATGGTAAACAAATAACCATGACAAATATTCTATAATTTTTTGGACAGAGTTATCCTTCCAATTTCAATTTGTTTGGCGTTGTTGGTACTGTCTTCTATTTTGCACCCCATCCACAAAACAAGTTCCCAAATTGATGACATGTTTGATGTATTTTGTGTATGATCTGATGTTTGGCTCATAGCCTTGTCCTCTCTCAATATCTCAGCGCAATGTAGAGATGTATTCTGCAAGAAGCCTTTGGCGTCGTGAAGGCCAAGATTGCAAAACAAGAACCATCAACTACATATTGAAGGATACACTGGAACACACGTACTCACTCACGGCCCACGGCGCAGGGTTCTGTAAAGTTTTCGTACGTGTTCATAACTGTTCAAGGAAGCATTCATCTCTAAACACATCGAACCGACTCATGTTTTACCCCGGTCAATGGAAACAAGTCAAGGTCACATGAACCGAAAAAGCAACGCTTAAAAGCGAACTGCCCACGCTTTTTTGCGAACTGTTTACAAAAAAAAAGTTCAGAACGTGGTGGGCAGTTCGGTCGGAACATCTGGTGTTTGTTCGAGGACCGCCGTAGGCCACGTGTTTCAGCGAAGCGAAGAGTCTCCGACCTCTGGACGACATGACCGTTCGGCTTCACCGGGTCATCTGAAGATCATCTCATCCCGGTCACAGTTCCGGAAGGAGAAAGGTTCAGAAGAAGGTTCGGAGCTATGGAATAGGACTCCGATCCTGTCATCCCCATCTCTCCAGCAACAAAACAACACGTCCGACTGTCATGTTGGTAACTTGGTGTCATAACACCATCCTATGGTGTGAGCCCACACCCCTGTCATCACCAAGGCGCCACATTGCGGAGACGCTTCACCTCCAACTCCAGCGCCGCTGCCAGCGCGACGGTGACGTGCAAATGCAGGTCGCTGGGCGACTGGTCGGCCCTGCGGAAGAGTCGAACCCGACGGCGTCGACCCTGCTTCGCACGGTCGCAATGATTCCCCACGTGTTTGAGGTTTGAGTTTCGAAACGGAAGCTTGAGCTCGGATAGATTGATCAATTGCATGAAACGCACGTTCCTTTTTGCAATGTGTAACTTATGTAACTATATAAAACACACATTTGCCAGCACTTGCTTCCGTTGCGGAGGTGTGAGTTGAGGCAGGACATTGAAAGAAGAACTAAGAACCACCAAAAACAAACACAAGTGATTTCAACCAGTGAACCCTGGAAGAAGCGTCTACCAACCTCCTGTGTCCAGCTTGGCCAAAAATACCAAGATGTCTCTACCCACTGCTCCACTTTTTTTGCAACATGACCATATCAAACACTAGCCATTAGCATTGATCACAGCCAGCTTAGGCCTCAGGTTTGAGATCGTCAACTTGCAGCTGGCTTGGATTGTCGAGATGCCTCGTGAGGCATGTGCAAAATGTCTGCAAGACACAGATCCGGAACATATATAAACATCTTGTTTAGATCCGAATTCTCGTACTCAGCTATAAATGTGATGGTGAAAGGTGAAAATTTGCAAATATGGATATATAACGATATACATATCCCAGGAAATAGAAACACGTCGTGATTAGTGTTTAGCAACCAAATCAATCTTTTTCCTAGACCGACTGTTCTAATTACAGACTCCTGCACAACCAAATATCAACAAGACCTCAGTATTTCTGGGGCTGCCAAATTGTGCTGCCTCCTCACTACATTTCACCAATCGCGACTGCTACTGACCCACTCCAGCACTGAAAGAGTACGATCCAGCACTAGTGCTTGGTTCCAAAGACTGCCGTGGTTCAGCAATCAGCGGACAGGGCAACACCCAAACACACTGCTTCAAAAAATACCATTATGCAAATTATGTGGTCGTCATCGTCGTTCTTGTTGTTGAGCTTTACCTGGCATCCCTGCACACACACCCCAAGAATCTTTTCGCCTAAGGTAGAGGTGGAAGAATCTCGCGTTCCGGCTGTGGATGTTGTTTCACTCGCCGTACTTGGCAGCTCCTGGCAGACCGGCTTGGCTTGGCGGACAGTTGATAGCTCCAGCGGACTGGGTTCCGAGACCCACATGGGAACCTGAGTCTTCCACGCCCGGTTTGTATATATATATATATATTAGAAGAAAATTGTCTTCCAATGCGGACTGGGTTCCGAGACCCACATGGGAACCTGAGTCTTCCACGCCCGGTTTGTATATATATATTAATATTAGAAGAAAATTGTCTTCCAATCTGGTCCATACTATCAGGATCTATCAGGTTCCATATGAATCTTCCCAGGTGTAATCCTCAGTGATACAGCTAGATAGGCACCTGTAGAAGATAAATGACATCGCTGGTGGATGACATCCCGCTGATGAAAAACCATTCACCAGTTAAAAGCACGAGGATATCAAACGCTCAATCACGCGACAAATGCAACCCTCGAATATGATAGAACAAATCTGTGGCGACTGGCACCTTTACACAATCATTTTACCTAGCGCTTGTATTATTCCGGCCCTCCCTACAACTCAACAGGCCTTATCTTACTAGATTCCGGATCCTGCTGAAACCAATAGGTATTCAATGAGCTAAAGAACCAGGCTAGGACATTTATATAATTACTGCAGTCCATTGGGACCTTCAGGGCCTTCGCACGATTCCGCCAATGCTTCCACCATCGTGCTGCCGTCCCCCGCGCTGCCTCCCCCAGGGCACTGGTGGTGGGTTGCCTGGAGTTGGCACTCCGACCGTTCAAGGCTCAAACCTAAAGCTGTTGCACTGTTGACACCTATATATTATACTACTATAGATATTATATATACACACCAAAGGTCCTTTCTTCATATTTCTGCAGCTGCGGGTCTCACTTTGCTACGCGATCACTCTTTGTGGACCAGCCTTGTGTATCACAAAATGGACTCCCCACGTCGAGAATCTGAACACATCCGGTTAAGGGCTTCCGGAACAGGCTTCCTTTGGTTGAAAGCACCTTCAGTGCAGTGTGCAGATGTCCTGGGACCTGGAGAGAAATGTGATCAAGGATCCAAACAATGCTACTGCATGCTACTGCTAACCTTATACATTGCTACATGTCTGGCGGACTGGGACACTTTAAGTTAAGTTAAAACAATTGGCAGTATGCTTGTTCTGCTATGTTTTGCAATGTTTTGCCTGTTCAGAATATTTCAGAATCCAACACACCAGAAACAACAACAACAACGACGACGGCAAAGGCTACTACTACTACTACTACTACTACTACTACTACTGCTACGACTTCTACTTCTAGTACTACTACTGCTACCGCTACTGCTACTGCTACTACTGCAACGACTACTACAACAACCGAACGAACACCAGTGGTAATAATGAGACATGAAAGTCCAAGGAGGAATTTCCATGGCCGAATCCACCGAACTCCCTGTCCACCACACGCCACACCAAGCTGCAGCTCCGTTCCGTCGTGGAAGGACGTGGAGCTGAAGGGGTCGCTGGAAGTGGTGGGATCTCTGCCTAAGGTGAATGCGCTGGTGGAGGTCATCGATGTCGCGCCAACTGTTGAGATGCTTTGACTTCTTGATGTCGTCGCTGTGGTGACCACAGTGGCATCAGCAGCACGGGCGGTTGTCAAACTTGCAGTCAACATTGCGAGGGTGGTAGTACTGCTCATAGAGGTTGTTGAAGCCGTTGTCGAGCTTGTTGTAACATCTCCGACGGCTGAATCAACCTCCATGGGGGTGCTCGTTGTGCTCGCTGTGACGCTGGCTGTGACGCTGGCTGTGGTGCTGCTGGACTTGGTGGAACTAACGACCGTCGTAGTCGCAGTTGTGGAAGTTGAATCAATAGTGGTGGTAGAAGTGGTGCTTGTCCTTGTGCCAGTCGTTGTAGTAAGACTTGTTGTGGTGGTGTCTGTGGTGGGCTCATTGGATGTGGTGCTAGTTCTGGTTGTGGTTGTGGTGGTGTCGGTTGCATCGGATGCTGTAGTCGTTGTGGGTGCATCGGTGGAGGTTGTTGCGGTGGTGGTGGCGGCTTGTGCATCGGTTGTGGTGGGTGGTTCAGTCGTAGTTGATGGCTCGGCGGTAGTGGTGCTGCTGGTGGTACTGGTGCTGCTAGTAGTGGTGCTGCTTGTCGTTGTGGTCGTGGTCGTGGTCGTCGTAGTGATGGCACTGGTCGTAGTGGTCGTTGTTGCTATATACCTCTACAGTCCAACCATGTCCGACCCCCATAGCCGTTCTTGACTGGGTGGTTGTCTGGAACGTCAGAATCTGCACTTTCCAAACGGGATCAAATTACCGTAACATCACATAACGCTTAATAAAGCTCAACAGACCAATCCATGACAGAGTCTGCCTCCTTCTCCCACCCGCAGGTGGTCGTTTGTACGCCTCCTTTCGTTGCACGGAAACCCAATCCGATCCTTTAAGTCCCAGTGGAGCGAAGCAAATCCCCCGACATTCAGGGAACATCCAGGGACCAGGGACTGGAGCAAGGACGCTACTAGGAGCAAGGGCATCGCTACTACGAGCAAGGACGCTACTAGGGCCTTACTACTAGTAACAAGAAGCTATTAGAAACACGAAATTCATAGAATTAGAATACACACGACCAGCTGAGCATTTGTTCGGAATCTGTGGCCAGCTCTTCGTCTGACGAAACTAGCAAGAACCCGCGCGAAACCATCGGAAATGGTTAGACCATTTGGTCTGGCCTTGAATTCCCTAGGGCTCCAACTACATCCTGAGAAGATGGTTAAGGTGGGTTTGGGGGTTCTAACCACCTTCTAAGGATATGGTTGGAGCCCTAGGGACTACTCAGTTGCAAACAGCCTTCTTTGGGGGGGTCACGGTCTCACTTCGTTTAATCACTTCATTAGATGTGGGAGAGGTGGCTTACGGCGCCAGGTCGTCCAAGGCGCCAATTGCTTGCAGACCATGAGTAGCTGCAGCTCACCACCAGTTGTGGCTGTGCCCAGCTGCTGGCTTCTCGTGAAAAGAAGTTCAGATTCTCGTCACTGTTGGCAGCCACCTCGTCACGACCCAGTGGGAAGCGGGGTGGAGCGTGGACGACCGAACTGGCGGTGGACGACGCTGTTTTGGCACCAATCAGATCGTGTCTGGGTGGTTGGCACTCCAAAACCAGGTCAAACATGGTCAAACAGGTTCTATAATGTTTTACAGTATATGTAAGGATTGCAAACGCATACTGTATGTCTTCAGAAATTGCTGTATTCTTGATCCTAATTCTAGAGCTGCACCGAACGACCAGGTGGACGGACAAGGGGCTTCACCGACACTTGGGTTGGAAGTTGAAAACATCATGGCCCTTGGGTTGGACACATTGAATAGATCATATATATATATACATATAGATCACTGGAGAACGGCCAATAGATTGCCAATAGATGTTCCTCGCAGCCAGAGAAATTCATTTTTTTTCGAACCGGGAAGCGGGGACATCAGCTGGTTCAAACCACAAAAGATCACAAAAGTAGTATCATTTCATGGGATGTGGTACCAAACATGTTGCGATTCTTTTGTACCACATCCCATCGTCCACCCGAGATACAAGGAGTATTACTCTGATCGATTTCGGGTGAAAACGGATTTCAACAAATGCCCACGACCAGATCCAACAAACCTCTTGCACCTCTTGCAGATCTCTCACCTCCACCCAGATCCTCAAATCTAACCCGGTCTCCCGGGTCCTACCCCGCCGGGCCGTGTCATCCGGCTGCAACCACATGGACAAGGCAGTGCCAGAGCTCCACCAGTCCCTTAGGGGGTCTGGGAAGTCCTTCCCAATGTGGGGATGGATCAACATTTGGAGGTATCCTGGTAGATCAACCAGTGGGTATACTGGTGCCATGACCCACAGCAATGTGCCCGGATTAGGCGGTCGCATGCATTTTGCCAGGTGAAACATGGTAAACAACAAAAGATAGACCTTTGCGGCAGCTTTGTCAGCTTGCCCAGGCTGTGCGCCCCACCACTCAAGAAAGTGGTGCATTGTACACCTGGGAGCTGAGCATGAAGAGATGTTATATCGTCCAACCTCACTTCTTCCAAGGCTGCCAGCGGCCTGTCCCGCGAAGTTCCAATTCAGCTGAAAACCCACTGGGCAAACATGGACTCTCCACCCTATCGCCAGTCCTCTGGCGAGTGCATTTGAGATTTGCGGATCAAAAACCATGTCTACAACTTCAAATCAGCATCCCTTTTTTCGCTATAACGTGAGACGGCTTTGCGCATATAAACGGTACTGTAACGCAAAAGCAAGAATCAATCACCTGCTCGCAGGAAGAATCTTGGGCCCGGAGCAACACAATATGAAGGTACTACATGGTACTACCCCCTATTAGATGTTGGGTCCGCCCCATGCGAACTGGAACGATCCACACTCATATCGGGCCAACACCATCTCATCTGCCAAGTCTCACACTCAAGCTCACAGCCTGATTCAGCTCATCAGAAGTGACAGTCAAGGTCCGTCGGTCGTAGGGATCCTCGATCATCACCGATGGGTGGGTGGGGGTGAAGGGAGAAGGCCCTGCGATGATCTGGCTCCGGGAAGCCCTACACTCTCTACAACAACAGGACTGCTATGCGGCTCCAGTCATACCTAAAAGTGAGAAGGTGGGACTGGGGTGAGGATGGTGAGTGCCAGGAGGTTCCAGTCGTACCTTCAGCCTCTCCAGGGGGAGTGAAAGCTAGCGATCCGAGCCGTGACGGGACACGAGCGTTTAGAGAACCAGCGTGGTAAGCGTGGTCAGTGGGTGATGTTCATGGCGATCCGAGCGCTGGCGGTGACCTTGACATCTGTATCCAAACTTCTGCTAGCTATAGGAACTATGTCTAAATGAAGTGCGTTGATCCAAGAAAGCTCTATAGATTCTATACTAAGGATCCACCTTGCTTCGTTCTGGACTCGAAGACAAATGAAGGCGCACCCGCACTCTGCGTTTGACATGGGAACCTGCCTCACTCAAACAAAACCACAAGTACAAATCATAAATATAGATACAACCTATAGACAAATAGGGACTCACAAAGTGATAGACCGGATTCAGGTTTGCTGCCTTGAAGTGGATCTTCAAGAGGAGTTTGTCAACCAACACTCTCAGGATCCCTTCTGGTCTACCACAGTTTTCAAAGGATGCATGCCAAACTGCCAAAGCTTGATTGGCCAAAGCTCGTGTCCTTTGTCCTTCCAGAGCCTTTTTGAGCTTAGATCTTCCAGGTGTTTCTTGTTGCTGGCTGCAAGGACCAAAAAGAAGCAGAACTTGGAACAACACAAGTATACACGCACATCAAAACCGATAGCACATGATAGCATCCTATTAATATCAATTAATATGTGAATAAGTATGACCAATCACTTGATCACCGAAATCGGCATCCTTTCCCAGGCTCTTTCGGGGATGTGTCCCACCGAAGATGGCTCTGCCAAAGGTTCGAAGCTTGGGAAGTTGTCCCAAGTGGTGCTCAGCTCGGGCCAGCTCTGGTCAGCCACGGGGCCATAAGCCAGCCTGAAGTGGAGTCCGCGGGTGCCAAATCCGTATGTTTTCCCCCATGTTGGTTGGGAAAATTGGTCTTTCCAGCATTTCGGGTCGTGCTACTGGGAATCTGCCACTGGCGATACCAACCGTACAGGATACTTTCAACATTGGCACTGCCATATCACACTGCATGTACTTAAAGCACTCACCCTAATGTGAGTGCTACACTCCTACCGATGCTCCGCGCCGTGCCGTGACGATCGTGCCCCGGTAGCCGCACCTAGCCTCACACACACACATCCATCACCCTGGCCGCAATAGCACCACTCTTGTTGCTAAGATGTGTCTATAGAGTCTATAGATGCCTTTAAGATGTAGTGTTGTAATCAATACATGGGAAACATTCACTGAAGGCTGCTGAATGTGGGACAAATCCATCGGACGCTTGTAAAGTTTTGGCTACTATACAGATTCTGTATATATCGACCGGATCGTGGATGACTTTGTAGTGTTACTTTTCAATGACTGACTACGCCGCAAAATTCAAGACTGATATCTGTCCGATCTGACCACCAACAAAGGCAAGGCGACTCTGTAGGCTGCTAAAGTCAAAGTGCAAAAAACACCCTAAGATTTCTCTACGACGTGAACGAGACTTTAGATGCTTTTGTCACCCTGTTAGATTCTGTCCTGTATGTATTCAATTCTGATTCCGCCAAGCAACACCAGCGAGGAGCTGGAGATCCATTTCACAGTCAAAAGCACCGTGGCCTCGATACAGCTTCTGAGCACAGTGGCCACTCCCGTTGCTTCGTGAACTGGAAGGAGCCTGGTTTTTGTTGAGACCCTATGTTTCATGCATTCAAGGCTCAAATTAGAAGGCTGACCCTGCGAAGCCTCCAAAGCATATCTCGTTCTTGGCTGGCATCATTTCTGACTTTCATAGCTAGTTGAAAAGCTGCGGCCCCCGGCTCCCATCTTCCAATCCCGCCAGTGCCGCGCGCGGGAAGCCTGCTACTGCCCGTTATGGCAAGGGGCAGTTCCGTTGCTGCACTCCGAGAGCGTAAGGGCAGGGAAGCGAACGAGGCCCACTTCGTTGTACACCTGCGGCAGTTCAACATGGGTTTCACATTGTATCATTGCGCAAGTAAATGGATGTTTCTTCAGTGTGCGGGGGAAAAACGTGGTGGTGGTCTTGGGTGTCAACGGCGTTACGGCCTCCTGTTCTTTTTCCTTTTCGGACCTTCTACTGATGTAACGTTGTTTGATTTGACCACTGCTACACAGCAGTCATGATGTTGTGTCTACCAGACTGCTGATTGGGTGGGGGTAATGACGTCTGGTTGGATCATCAGCGTCTTTTTTGGCATCTCATCATCTGCACCTTTGGTTCCTGCACGGGAACATGCATGATCAAGATTTGAACTTCATCTCATCTTCGCTTCATGAGCTTCATCTTCGTCTTTGATATGGGTTATCTTAGAAGGACCCCCCCTCAACCCCCCCAGGATAATTAATGTATTCAACTGAGACCCTGGGACATAGATTCCAAAAAGTTATCCAGGATATCACTATATACAGTATTAGATAATTATTCAACAATCAATGGCCAGGGGCCCCCTACAAAAGCATGCAAGAGCAATCATAGACAGCAAATGTTCATAGCGTTCCTTTCCCGGAACATTAAAGCCCAACAAACCAAGCACTGTATCCTTTGCACCTTAACCTAGAGGTGTGAAAGCTACTAGATCCTAGTAGGCTTGTTGTCTGTGCCCCCACATCCACCAACCTGCAAACAATTGTCCAGCCTGTACGCCTGTATAAATTTATCCAGGAGGGGTTGACCTCACACATACCCCACAAATGTGTGTGTGTGTGGGATTGTATCTGCTCCGTGGAACAATAGTTCCATTTCCGTGGCTCCAGTCCAAGCCCGTTGCTAGTTTCAAGAATAATTACGCAGTTTGCAGTCAAGACAGAAGATACGAAAACCTCAGAACTATCAGAACGACGTGTTGATATCTTAATTTAACCGCAGTAAGCTTTCACATAACCCCCCCAGCCTAAAAAGTTAACCATTGCAAACCCCCCCAGCCTAAAAAGTTAACCATTGACATTGAAATTTAACTTTAACAACATAAATATCTGCTAACTCAAAGGGGGGGTGTGGATAATTTATTTAAGATATCCCATATCATCTTAGAACCATAAAGGTGGTTTAGTGCCGAAAGCAGTGGAATTGTCTGCGGTTGCTGTGGGACAAGTCTAGATGTTGCAGTCCGTTCAATCTGGTATGCCGTTGTGCTTAAAACACCTGAAACAGTCTCATGTGTGAATCTCCCCATTGGGCCTTCGCCCATATTCTGCTTGTTGCCCCTCAGCAATGCTTATGTACGTGTTAACCTCTTAAAACCCCCATCAAGTCTCATCAGGTAGCTTTGACCAAAGAACCCTGATGAAGAAAGTGAGGGAAGATGGAGCAGCTGCTCCAGGAGGTGGATAATTCTGTCCTAAACGACAACTGACGAGTCATCGCCACCCCAATCGGATGCAAATTGCACACCCATCTTGCCCTTCAAAGAGGGTCAAAAATGGTTGTGTCTGCGATGCACGCTTCAAACATGCCTCACAAAAAAAACTGTTTGGCACCTCTTTCACTTGATCAATTGGAACATGAGAGTACCCATGGTTGCGGCGGTTCATGAACACCCCTAAACCTCTCAGCGGCCCATGAATAGATACAACAAAACAACAACCAAAAGGTCAAACATCATGGCTCACCACGCCCATGTCTTTTCAGCGATGGCGTCCCCTCTAATTCCCCTCAACCGGTTCAGCCGCGCTGTTTGGTGAGTGATCAAGCCTGGGTAGTGCCATCCGGTTCGGGTTCGCTTGTGCCTTCTTGGAGTTTGGGATTTATTTCTTCAACCCTCAGGGCGTTCTCAGAACTTCCCACACCTGGTACCACCACATCACTACCTATAATAGGGGTCAAATCATGTCAAATCTCTCATTTGGATTCCCATGCGGTTGCTCATCCAAGGTGCTGATTGCCCATCAGGTCCAGATCCAGCGTCCCAGGAGTGATACTTTGTCACCTGAGTCGGATGAACTTCGGTCGCCAGTGATGATGATTCCGACGCGCCTGGGGAAGACATGCAAAGCCCATGTTCAAGCTTCTGGTATTATGGATGTTGTCTTTGGATTCATGCTGGAGAGAAGGATCAAGTCTAACTTCTTTTTTAACAAACGGTGCGACCACGGGATGCGGGTCGTCGCTTTGTGGTCTCTGGACTCGGGCGACCAAGCAACAATCTCGTCGACGGCCCCGACGTTGTGTCCAGGGTTCGACTTGAGCGCGTAAAGATCTGCCTGGACCGCCGATTCGACCTATGCGATCACCCCGGACTGGTCTGCGGTCTGCTGTCCTGGTCTGGGTGGAGAACTGGGATTCAACGTTGGCCACTGCCATAGGGTATTTAGTGACGTCTTTACAACAAGGTTACAACGAAGCAACGCAAAGGCGATGGACAGCCATCAGGCAGCATGATAGTGGATTGAGAGTTACAGCTACTCTCTAGAGTCACTTGCAGCATGAGGAGGCTGCACAACTCAATCAATCCCTCGTGCCAGCTACCAACACAGGGCAATGCAGCTCGGGGAATGTTGCGGGGCACTCAATTTTGGAACCGGGGCTTTAGCGGCCCGGCACATTCGCGGATCCTTCGCGAAAGTTCACTAGTGATTTCTCCGGGCACACCATGCGCAAACATCTGCACAATCTGTCAGACCTGCGGATCGTTGCCTCACTGTGAGGGCTGCCCAAGCATGATGTAGTTACAGTTGCAGTTTGTGAGTTGGGAAGGACAATCCTGTACGCACTATCAGGGCTGCACAAGGACAAGTTGAAGGTGTCAGTTTGTTAGTCTGTGACAGTGGGGACATGCGGGGACACTTCCGCACACTGGCCTTGCCATAGGATTGCCTTCCATCTCTCCATCTCTACATGAAAACAAACAGTCAATGCTCCTCTTTCGCACACCGACAGGACCGACAGGACCTGGGCGAATGCCTCAGGGTCGGACAGTTTGGATAGCATCTAAAAGTATATGTCTCCCCTCACAGGCATCTTTAGTAAATGTCTCCTCTGATCAGGATGATCCTCCTCCCAGCCTCCGCCCCCCAAACGCTTAGCTCACTGCGCCTCAGCCCCAATACTGCTGGAGCCCTCGAAGACATCAGCACCGAAGAGCGCCGTGAGCTGCGCGACCGCCGGGCGCGCCTGGCGCGCCTGGCCAGCAGCTCTGAGCAGCGGACGTTGTGGGGAATGTGAGCATGCTCTTGGGTTCAACATGGTTCAATGATCCAAAACATTCCAAAACCATCCAACAAACGTTTCCATGCTATAGCAACAACACCCCTCTCTAACTTTAGACCTCTTTAGACTCTAGAATCATTAGGAGCCACGGTTCGAGTTTCATCACGTCCATGCTCTGTTCATACTCGAGAGCCATGACTTCAACCCGGAAGGCAACAAGAGCAGTGCACCTAGGCACTACGCAACGAAATTGCAAATGCCGCGCTGCACTGCACTGGAACAAAAGATCAAGAGGCTGAACTTTGCTGATCGAAACGTACGAAGCACCCAAATCTACAATGATGGCAACACTCCGGACCTTGAGGCCCAAAAGCATTGACTTTGGGGCTGGAGGGTCATGGATTCCCCATGCAGCCATCACCCCGCCTGCGGATTTGAACCAGCTCCAGTGGCCTTAGCAGGATCCCCATGGCCAAAGGGCACCCGTACCCGCGTGTTTCCAGGATCTTAGTGAATATAGTAAGCCTACAGCATGTCGGCTATGGGAGGGCTCTTGAGCGATTCCTGCGTACTGGAACTGTGATGATGATGATGATGATGATGATGATGATGATGATGATGATGATGATGATGAT